GAATAAGGAAAGAAGCTGTCTCCACAACATAAAAGTGCAAGGTGAAGTCAAATAATGACGATACAGAAGCCACAGAAAATTAGCTAGAAGACCCTGCTAAGATAATTAATGAAGGTGTTTACAGTAAACAACGGATTTTCAATGTAGACAAAACAGCTTCCTATTTGAAAAAGATGCCATCTAGAACTTTCATAACTAGAGAGAATTAGTCAATGGCTCATGGCTGGCTTCAAAGCTTCAAAGAACCTGCTGACTCTCTTGTTAGGGGTTAAATGCAACTGGTGACTCTAAGTTGAAGCCATTGTTCATTTACCATTCCGAAAATCCTAGGGCCGTTAAGAGTTATGCGAAATCTACTCTGCCTGTGCTCCATAAATGGAACAACAAAGCCTCAATTATAGCACATCTGTTTACAACATGGTTTAAAGAATCTTTTAAGCCCACCGTTGAGACCTGCTGCTCAAAAACACAAAATCCGTTCAAAATATTACTGCTCATTGGCAATATACCTGGTCACACAAAAGCTCTGATGGACATGTACAGTGAGATGAATGTTGTTTTCATGTCTTCTAACACAACATCCATTCTGCAGCCCGTGGATGTAATGTCCACATTCAGGTCTTATTATTTAAGAAATAGATTTCGTAAGGCTTTTGCTGCCATAGATATTGATTCCTCTGATGGATCTGAGGAAAGTAAATTGAAAGCTTTGGAAAGGATCCACCATTCTAGATGCCATTAAGAATATTCATTTGTGGTCCATGAGAAGAGGTCAAAATATCAACGTTAGTAGGAATTTGGAAGAAATTGATTCCAACCCACATGGACGACTTTGAAGGGAGACTTCAGTGAAGGAAGTCACTGCAGATGTGGTGGAAATAGCAAAAGAACTAGAATTAGAAGAGGAGCCTGAAGAGGTGACTGAATTGCTACATCTCATGACCAAACTTGAATGGATGAGAAGTTGCTTCTTATGGATGAGCAAAGAGTGGTTTCTTGAGACAGAACAAACTGATGGTGAAGATGCTGTGAAGATGGCTGAGATGACAACAAAGAATTTAGACTACTGCATGAACTCAGCTGAGAAAGCAGCAGCAGGTTATGCGGGGACTGATTCCAATTGAGAAAGAATTTCTACTGTGGGTAAAATGCTCTCAAACAGCATCACATGCTACAGAGAAAGCAGTCATGGAAGGCAGGGTCCACTGATGTGGCAACCTTCAGAAACCACCACCCTGCTCAGTCAGCAGCCCTCAACATCCTGGCAAGACCCTCCACCAGCAAAAAGATGATGACTCACTGAAGGCCCAGATGATGGCTAGCATTTTTTAGCAATAAAGTGTTTTTTAATTAAGGTATTTATGATGTATTAAGACATGATGCTATTGTTTTAAGACACTAGTCTACAGTATATTGTAAACAGAACTTTTACATGCACTGGGAAATAAAAAAAAATTGTGACTTGCTTCATTGTAATATTAGCTTTGTTGTGGTGGTCTGGAACCAAACCCACAATATCTCCACGGTATGCCTGCATTATCTTTCAGATCTCCAGTTTTTCCCCCACTTCAACGCAGCCTGATCAGAGGAAAACTCCCAGCCCCTGGTTTCAACCTGGGAAGGGGAAGAGTTGGAAAGTGCATCTAATGTTCTGGGTTTCTAGGGTACTGCCTAAGGGACTGGTTTCTTAAAAAAAGAAAAATAGCCCTGACTGGTTTGGCTCAGCGGATAGAGCGTCGGCCTGCAGACTCAAGAGTCCCAGGTTCGATTCCGGTCAAGGGCATGTACCTTGGTTGCGGGCACATTCCCAGTGGGGAGTGTGCAGGAGGCAGCTGATCGATGTTCCTCTCTCATCGATGTTTCTAACTCTCTATTCCTCTCCCTTCCTCTCTGTAAAAAATAAATAAAATATATTTGAAAAAACAAATATATCGAACCATGACCTCCTGGTTCATAGCTTGATGCTCAACCACTGAGCCACGCTAGCTGGGCGGGACTGGTTTCCATCTTGCCTGTTTCAGAGCACTGATGGGACCCGGCACAGTCTAGTTGCCTGGGGGACACTGAGAACAAAAGTGAGCTGGACTTCTTGCCTCTGCTCCAGAGGACCCATGCTACAACAGACAGAGGCCAGCACAGCTTGGCAGCCTGTCCATCGTGGGGCAAGAAAAGAGTGGAGCGTTCGTCCAACATTCTGGCTTTTGGGGGGCTACCCAAAGAGATGGTTTCTGTCTTGCCCAACGCAGAGTACAGACAGGATGCAGCACCCTCTGCAAACCTGGGACCACTGAGAATAAAAGTGACTTGAATGGCTTCCAGCAGCTCCAGAAAACCTGCAGTACTGCGGACAGACACCAGAGGTAGCAAGAGATTACAAGCCCCTAAAAAAAGAGAAACTGGCAAATCCATGTAATTGGGAATTTACATGCACAAGTCCAGAGAAGATGAATCTACAGCAAAGGTTTGAGAGGCCTCTCAAGCTCGGCTAATTGGTAAAAGTCTTTCCCTACACATAGTCAGTCGGTAAAGATCGAAGAGGTGGCTGTCTTTTCAAATGGATAGATCACAACAGAAAGAGACAGGGAAGCACGGCTCAATGAAAGGAACGGAATAAATCTCCAGAAACAAAGTTATAATAATATATGTATTAGTGAGGCTTTAAAGGATGATTAAGTAGGAAAATAAATGTGGAAAACACTTTGAAATTTATGAAAATCAGATGAGTGAAATGTAATTCTAATATATGATTACTGGCTCATTTGCCTTCCTCCCTATTAAAACGCTGATCTTGGTCCTTGAAGCCACGCCATTATAAAGATTTGTTTTATCAAAAAGAGAGAAAATAATTTATTAAAGCCAGATGCTTATAAAGGTGAGTGATGTAACAATAAATAATGGGCAACTTCTGCGTTGAAAAAATACTAAATAAGCACAAAAATACTCAACCAGCAGTGAATCTTAATGAAGCTAAAGTGGATTGCCTCTGTGGGACAGAAAGAAAAGAATGAGGTCATATATTGAGCTCTGTTTGTTGGCATTCCAAAAGCAATGTAGCAAAAATGACCAGTCTCCACCTCCAGGTGGTCTCCACCTGCCATGACCTTCACATTGTTTGCACGATCCTAGGTACTACATCTGGGTGTCCTCCAGCAGTGCCCCGAAACCCCAGGCCTTGTTCTCCTGTCCACGACCAAACACATCTCAATTCAGAGTCTAAGAATCAGATATTTCAACCCCCAAAATGGGATGGAGTAGGAGTATGGGATAAGGGGATAACAACAGCAAACAAACCTAACGTTTTTTATGCACTTAAATGCTTTACTTGAATTACCTCTTTATTCTTCACAGCAACCCTATTTTATAGGTATTCTTTCCTCAGTCCAGAGAGATCACTTAAAGTTTAGAGAGAAAAATTACTTGCTCAAGATGGCACCTCTTTTAAAAAAGGACTCAACTGCAGTTTAAAACACATCTTTCCCAAAGTTTAGGCTTTTACCACTACTCTGAGCTACCTCCAAGACAACCTAGGGCTCTTCTTCTTCTTCTTCTTCTTCTTTTTTTTAATTAGAGCTCTTCTTCTAACACCCAAGGGACATGGGGATTCTTCAGAGATTTTTAGTACCTCTTAAGATTATGAGGCACAAAGAGAGTGAAGTGATCGAGATCTTATGTAGGAACAGGCAATGGAATGGGTGGAACAATGATATTAGCTGTCAGGTGCACTGTCTACTGAAAACGTTCTCTAAAAATAATAGAGAATTCAGTATATGAGGAGCCTTTTCAAAATTTAAGTCAAATAAGTGAGACGCAGAAGTGTCTGAATGTGGTAGGAGCTAAATGAGGGTCAGAGAATATTAACTTTGATAATTTTGAATAAAACTTGAATAATAACTTGTATGTGTATTCTACAAATACAAAGGGCTATGAAGGGCAGAGGTAGCGTTTGGGAATCCATGGCCAAAGGAAATAAGAGAGGAAAGGTCTTAGAACACGAAACTGGATTAAACCCAATAATAATTTCTTCCCTCAATCTACTGTTTCAACTCATTCAAATGATGTAAAACCAACTATAAGATGAAGAAGAGTGTTTTCAACAACCAGTCAGATCTCTCCTTAAAAGAACATTCTAGGGCTTTCTTCTCGACCAGGATTCTTGGTTTGGCTTAGGTTTCATGCAAAGAAAAATCTACAACAAAAATATGGCTATCTCCAAGGAGCCTAACTGAAACTTGCAAGTCACTTTGGGATTATATTTTAAAACAAAGTGTTTTTCCATAAAGATACTATTCTGCTTTTATAGAGTAAATTAAAACTAAATTCGTTTTTATTCAAGAATTCTATTTTTCCATACAGTGTACATTGCTTTTAGTTGGGGTTTAGAGAAGCAATGATTAATCACTTGTCCCTAGGTACTTAGAAAAGGCAATTATTATCAGTTATATTGGGCTAGATGAAAGATGGGAGTTACAACTTGTTAACCTCGAGGGGTGCCAAGCTCAGAGGATCACACCACAAACTCCTTTTTTATCTTACGATGGCCACTGCCACAATGAACACGGCTCTCCTGCCTTACGTTTTCCTCTCAGCTGCCACAGCAAATTTTCTCAGGCGGCAATGTCCACTTAGCCAGAAGGACGTCCAGCAAGTAACCCCAGGTCCACAGGGGTCCACTGGCAGTTCTAAGGCAGGGCAAAGGGACAGAGAGCTGGGAGAGGCCAGGACAGAAATACAGAAGAGCAGGAACAGAAGAGGATGAGAAGGAAGAATGGGAGGGAGGCATAAAGGAAAAGGAGAAGAAGAGGTGGCAGAAGTAAGAAAAGAGGGAAGACGTGTGGAAAGGAGACCGTCTGCAGAGAAGAAATTCTATGCGAAGGAGAAAAGTGAACCAGGGGCCCGCACAGGCAAATCAGGACAGCTTTGTGCTATGAGTTGCCTCCTCTCACTCCTAGTCTTTCTCCCCCCACAGAGGAAGCAGAGTAACCAACCCTCCGTGCCATCACCTGGATGAGCTCGTCCAGCTCAGTCGAGTTGACACAGGAGTGCTGGGAAATGAAGGTTTGCTTCTGGATCACGATGGTGGTCCTCTGGGAAATCTCGTGAGGCTGCTCCAATGCTTTGAACACGGTGGCTCCGATGATCAGGTAGAGGACAACCACCAGGAAAATCGTGGAGACCGTCTTCCATTTCATAACATTAATGGTCGTGTCACTCTCCACCCGGGAAGCAAGCACGGTGGGTTTCGTGGAAAATGAGAGCCTGGGCTTGGAGTTCTGAGCGGCAGATTTTGGATCCAGCAAGTCAGGTGCCGCCACTGATAAGAGAGAAGGAGGGTTAGGCTGGAGGAGGTCAGTGGGGTAACGGCTGGGCTTGTCTAAGGGGTGGCAAAAGTTGACAGAATTCTGCTCTCCTGGTGGAAGCTCTGGAACCAGAAACGCACCCAGGAGCATATAAATGGGTTCAAGGGAAAGGGGCTGGGCCTTCGCTCTCTGCTGCTATTGGGGATCCAGATGGGAGGGGGAAGAAAAACAAACAGGAGTTGGACCGAGAAACTTAAAAAAATAAAAGCATGCCTGCCCAGCTAGTGTGGCTCAGTGGTTGAGCATCGACCTATGAACCAGGAGGTCATGGTTCAATTCCCAGTCAGGACACATGCCTGGGCTGCTGGCTCGATGCCCAGTGGAGGGCATGCAGGAGGCAGCCAATAAATGATTCCCTCTAATTGTTGATGTGTCTATCTCTCTGTCCCTCTCCCTTCCTCTCTGACATGTCTGAGGTCTTCCTCCGGGAGAGATTCCAGCCACGCTCTCCAACCGTCCCCTTTCTCCGGGAGTCCTCCGCCTTTCCCGGCTGCAAACTGTCTCCCAGCTGAATATCCTCTGCTTATTCGGGCTGTATGTTACCCGCTTCAGCTGCTCACCCTTATCTGCTCCGGGACAAGGCACGGGACACGTCCGTCTATACCTCCGCCATTTTTTCTCTCTCCTAATTAATTTCAAAATTTGTATCTGTCCACCATGAGTCAACAAAGACTTACTGAACTGCTAAGAGTTGCTGATGCTAAAGTAGATATTTGAATACTCGTGAAGAAGGTTCCTGGATACTCCCCTTCTCTAGCACGTAACACTTTATACCACAGCAATCAACGTAAATAACATTCTCTACTTTTGCCTTTAAAAATTCATTATAATAAAGGAATTGTATTATAAGTGAATTTATGACCCAGACGCTATTGCTCAAAGTAAAACATTAGTAATTTTCTGGTAATACATGATGATGGTAAATAAACCACAGTAGCCCAATCATTTCTTTTTGCTTAAGCATTCTCTATGTTTTGTTATTCAATCTCTGACATGTGTATAAAAACAAGAATATCGCTACCCATTGTGGCAAAATCCTTGGTGCAGCCAAGACATGACAAGTTCCTTCCATTTGAACAGTGAACATTATCAAGAAAAAAAAGTTTAAAACCTTGTCTCACACCTTGGACCCTACATGCTCTGTACAGAGCTAATTGCTCCATTAGCATGAATTTCTGTGTTCCCTTACAAATTCCCATATACTCTGAGGTGACTCTAAATCCATTTATTATTCATCTGAGCTGTTCAAAAATATCATTAATGGATTCCTTTTTAGCTAATACAAGAGATACTAGCCTTCTACTTGCTAAGGGGAAAATAAGCCATCAATTACAATATATTTGATTGGAAAAATAACATTGAACCAAAAGGGGTAATAGAATGGGCAACAAAGAGGAAATTTTAAAAAGCCACCAACTCAACTAGAATAATCAACTTGTTGTCTGTAATTGTTATAGAAACAAGTAAAAATAGTATCTATAATACAGGTCTAATAAAATGATAACCTAATCTAAAAGACACTTTGGGATAAGTATTGGGGAAATCCCAATGGAATTGCCCCTAAATACCCTACAGGAACCTGAAATTACTTGAGGATGAGAAGGAAATACAGCAGAGAATGTCAATTTTCACATGGCTACATACCTTGCCCTCTTGACTACCGCTGAGTTCAATTTAGGACGACCACAGTCTGAATTCATAAACTAAGTCTTCAGTTGCCCATCAAAAAAGAAGCTTTGCAAACAAAGCTATTTGAAGCACCAGTGCTAAGCAGTGTTGTAAAATGATGGCAGATAACAGAGGGATCCTCAACCAGCAAAGCTCTGAGTGGTTCTGACTTGGAAGAGAGGAAGCCAGAGCTCTGATGGGGTAACAGTGCCTGTACATACGTGGGATCGCCACATACGGTCCCGACAGCAGTGAAGTACAGGTATGTACACGTTTCTCCCCTGGGACACTCACCTGCCCCACAAAGCCCCAAACTAATAGACACTTTTAACATCCCATGTTCGTAAAGGCAACTTCACTCAAAATTAACGCTGGCTATGTGTTTAGAATTTTCATTTTTTTAAAAAACAACAACACACTTTTAAAATAGAAATGCTGATAATAGCTAAAATCACTGTCAGTCATCTGCTGTCTAACCTCCCCACCAGGCCTCCACGCTGCCTTTTGAGTTTGAGTGAAAAATAAAGGCCATAACCTAAAATTTAGCCATTTTTGGAATAAAAATTAACAAAATCACATAGAAGCTCAACATTCTGTCTCTCTGGAGGAAGCTCCCCAAGCCTTTCTCGGCAGTGCTCTGTTCTCTCCTGTTTCTGATTGTTCACATGAGTGGTGTCCAGTCTGCAGAACTGGAAAACACCAAGACTATGTACCTGGGTGCTCCCCCCAAATCCCATCCCTAAATCCCCACGCCAAACTAAACATCATTATAAGCTTTCGGAGGAAGGGGACAGGTATATTTTTAAAAGTGTGTGTGTGTGTGTGTGTGTGTGTGTGTGTGTGTGTGTGTGAAGCTAATACCTTTCCTGACGGAGTTTATTTTAAGCTATTGCCGTATCTTTTAATTAGCAGAAATACATGATGCACATTTGGCAGACCGAATGGGCAGGAACTGGTGAGATAGCAAAATGAAAAAGCAACAGCCTTTCCTCTCCGTCTAATATGAGAAACCCTCCGGTTTCCATCTCCAGTCCTTTGGGGTATGATCAGCAAGAGAAGCTACTCAGCACAAGGAGTCAGGGACTGGCCCCCTCCACACGCTCTGGGCACCACCACTGCCTCCCTCCTCTGCCCCCAGCACATCAGCCTCCTCGCAATCCTGCGCTCCCATCCTCACCCAGGTATGTCTACTTCGCTCTGCTCCCGGATTCAATGGACGACCCAATACCAGGAGAAACGAGCTTTTTTTCAGCACCACCGCCTGTCCCACCATGCAATGGGCAATGGGCAACAGGCAACAAGTGTGCCCAGGGTCACCACGCGTCCTGCCTGTCGGTTGTTCCCTAGGGTTGACCCTCCTCCTTTCAACGTCCCCCCCCCCCCCCCCCACACACACCGTGTCTCAAACCCATTCCCAAGGCAGATGCAAAACCTCCAGGCACCTGCAGGAGACAAGGGAGAAGCAGCAGGAGAGGAGCGGGGATAGGTTTGCCTCCAACCCCAGATTATGACCCAACACCTAGGACGGGAAATGAAGGTGGAAAAGGTCCGCTTGCAGCCAGCGGGGCGTCAGCAACCCTCCCCGGACCAGCTGGGGCGGGAAAGCGCGGGGCGGGCGGCGGAGGGGGTCCCCGGGGTCTCACCTCCTGCGCTAGAGCCGGGTTTCTCCGGCGAGGCGCTGGGCAGCATGAGGCATGCAGCATTCAAAATGTTCTCTTTTATTTTGCAAAAGATGGACTTGAACCTTTTACACACACGCCACGGTACTCACTTCTTATTCAGAGACGGGCTGCGCGCTCCGAGCTGCACGGGCAGGCATTTTCCCCGGCTTTGTTTTACAAGGTGGGGAGCGCGGGGCTGGACGCGGGAGGGGGTGGGGGCAGCGTGGGA